GCCGGTTGAGCTATAGGCGCCGAGCCAGTTTTGATATTCTTAACCACTCTGCCAGTCTGCTTCCTGGCGTTATGAGGAGGAAAAACAAGGTAATAAACATAAAATCATTTTGTAAGTCATAAAATACCATACACACATAAAGGACTATTTCCTTTATTCTTTCCACTGTATTATCCTCATGCCATTTCTACTCAGCAGAGAAAACTCTTGTATGGTAGACTCATAAGATCTACATGCCCAAAGAATGGAATTTCCCACAATTTCCAAAGTTCAAGTCTGGGGCTGCCAGTAAAGAGATACCCTAGTGTCTGATCTCGGCTGCTTGGGATTAGAATAACAAGTTGGAGCCAGAGCCCAAGAGATTATTTAGGCTAGAAATGCAGTCAAAAATGAAAAGAAATAGTTGGTGCCAACTGCAAAGTCCCCAGAGAGGAAATACTGTTCATATCCTGAGAAAAAAACTTACTGATGCTCCATCCTCAAGGCATGGCAGGAACCCAAGCTAGATTTGATAGAGTTTTGGTGCCAAATGACTTTTCAAAGTAAGCAGGGAGCCTACCTGGTGGGACTTAGGTTGCTTCCACAAAAAATTTAGCTCTCAACTATTCAAAGGATTCTTCTAAGATATAGTAACCTCTCCACAGACAGAGGGCTGGGGGCATCAGAGCAAAAGGAAATGAAGAACATTTACTGGAAATGACAATCCAGAGAGGAAACTTCATGTGCTACACCACAGCTGGCTGGCTGAAAGAAGAAAAAACAACGTTCTTCTAGCTAGGGCCTGTTCCTGTTAATTGCACTTCAGAAACAAATACCACACGCTAATCACCTCATTTGAAAACAAAGATTAGACAGTGTAATCCAAAACAACCACATAGTAGTAGTTTTTCAAAGATTTCACAGGGTTATTTTCCAACAATGTGTACTGTAGCCATGGTGACACTATGTCCCAATAAAACTATTAAGTTGATGGGATCTTGGATATGAAAGGTCAGATTCCCAACCCATTTTTACATGACCACAAACCTTTTAAATAAAGGTTTAAAATAAAGCTTTAAAATAAAGACAAATTACAGGCAGTGTGGGATAGTAGAAAAGACAAGATCTAGAACTGGAGGACCAAGGCTTGAGTGGTACTTCTGCCTCTACTAGTGATAAGACCCTGAGAAAATCACTTAGCCTCTTCATGTCTTAGTTTCTACATCTACAAATGGAGATTCCACTTACCCCTGGAATGTTATGGTGATTAAACGAGATAATCATGTAAGTAGCCACTTCATAAACTCCAGAGTATTATAAAAACACTAGATGTTTTGATAGATTTGAAGAGTTTTTCTCTTAATGCTTCACTAGAAAAGCAAATTCAAGAGAGCAAAACTGATTAGCTTTAATCTCAATGCCAAATCTGACAAATCCCAACCAAGAACCTTTCCGTGAAAATATCCAAGAATTTGATTTAAATGACAGGTAGGGACTGATGTTAGAATGAAAGTGATTCTTAAAGGTTTTACTAATTTGTTTCATATAAAGGAACATCTGAGTCAGTGCACAGAACCTGAAGCAGGGCTGAATACTACATAAGGATAATGATATTGCCTACTGAAGTGGAAGATGATGATAATAAGGAAGTATTTTCACTAAATATATCTGGTGATATTTGGTAAAAAATATCCTCCACCATATTGAAGGATAAAAGAGCTTTCATAAGCATACTCAAAATACATTTAATGAAAGATCTAACATGATGGGCTTTGTGACCACTATGAGTATAACAAAACAGGGAAATCCTACTGATGTTATGAATCCAAATCCATTTTAGAAATGAAATTGAGGAAAGATAACCACTTCTTTTCTGCTTTCAAAAGTCCTTAGTGGGGCCAGGCATGGTGGCTCATGCCTGTAATCTTAGCACTCTGGGAGGCTGAGGCAGGTGGATTGCCTGAGCTCAGGAGTTCAAGACCAGCCTGAGTACGGGCAAGGCTGAGGGAAAAGGATCATTTGAGCCCAGGAGTTTGAGGTTGCTGTGAGCTATGACACCATGGCACTCTACTCAGGGCAATAAAGTGAGACTCTGTCTCAGGGGGAAAAAAAAGTCCTTGGGTGATCTTAGATGTCTTGCCACCTTTGCTAAAGTAAATTCAGACTCTTTAAAAGCCTCTATTTTCAACTATAGATTCACAGATGCCTATAGCTGGATATGCCATTAATTTTAGAGGGGAAGAAAGGGAAGTTACTTTACCAAAGAAAGATCTGACTCCTAGACCATCACATAATCCAGTATAGAACCAAGATTAGCCTCCCAGGATTGTGGATGCTTTGACTCATGCATTTTCTTTTTCTTTTTTTTGGAGACAGAGTCTCACTATGTTGTCCTCAGTAGAATGCCACTGCATCACAGCTCACAGCAACCTCAAACTCTTGGGCTCAGGCTCAGTGCCTGTAGCTCAGTGGCTAGGGTGCCAGTGACATACACCAGAGCTGGTGAGTTCGAACCCAGCCCAGGCCTGCCAAACAATGAACATTGTGGTGGGCGCCTGTAGTCCCAGCTACTTGGGAGGCTAAGGCAAGAGAATTGCTTAAGCCTGAGTTTGAGGTTGCTGTGAGTGACGCCATGACACTCTACCGAGGGCAACATAGTAAAACTTTGTCTTAAAAAAAAACAAAACAAAACTCTTGGGCTCAAATAATCCTCTTGTTTCAGCCTCTCAAGTAGCTGAGAGTGCAGGTGCCTACTATAACACTGGGTATATTTTAGAGAGGGGGACTCCTGCTCAGGCTGGTCTCAAAAGCCCGAGCTCAGGCTGGGTAAGAGGATCACACCTGTAATCCTAGCACTCTGGGAAGCCAAGGCGGGTGGACTGCCTGAGATCACAGGTTTTAGACCAGCCTGAGCTACAGCAAGACCTCTTCTCTAAAAATAGCTGGGCATTGTGTTGGGCACCTGTAGTCCCAGCTACTTGGGAGGCTGAGATAAGAGAACTGCTTGAGCCCAAGAGTTTGAGGTTGCTGTGAGCTGTGATGCCATGGCACTCAACCAAGGGTGACAAAGTGAGACTGTCACACACACAAAAAAAGCCTGAGCTCAAGCAATATAGCCACGTTGTCCTCCCTGTGTGCTAGGGAGCCACTGTGCCCAGTGAGCCACTGTGCCCAGAGAGGCTCCTGCATTTTCCATTATAACACATCACCTTGTCAGTCATTTTATTAAACTATAATCCTGATCATGCTTATGCATTTGGGTGATTCAGGCAAACTCATTCTGGGTACAAAGGTATCAAACCAAAATATAAACTCGGAGGTTGCTGTGAGCTGTGATGCCACAGCACTTTACCCAGGGCGACAGCTTGGGGCTCTGTCTCAAAAAAAAAAAAATCAATCTCATGGAATCAGAGATTAGAATGATGGTTACCAAAGGCTGGAAGGGTAACAAGGGGGAGGATAAAGTGGTGATGGTTAATGGATGCAAATATATAGTTAGACAGAATGAACATCTGCTATGATAACAAAGTGACTATAGTCAACATTAAGTTACTTTAGAATAACTAAAAGAGTGGAATTGGAATGTTCCTAACACAAAGAAATGATAGATGCCTCTACAAAAAAAAAGGTATGTGTACAGAAAGAGAGAGAGAGAAAGAGATGGATACCCCAATTACCTGACTAGATTAACATTGTATGCCTGTATCAAAACATCACTGGGAGGCATGTGTGGCTCAAAGGAGTAGGGCACCGGCCCCATATGCCAGAGGTGGTGGGTTCAAACCCAGCCCCACCCAAAAATAAACAAAACAAACAAACTAACAAAACATCCCGGGTCGGCGCCTGTGGCTCAAGCAGCTAAGGTGCCAGCCACATACACCTAAGGTGGCGGGTTCGAATCCCCAGCCCGGGCCCACCAAACAACGATGGCTGCAACCAAAAAAATGGCCGGGCGTTGTGGCGGGCGCCTGTAGTCCCAGCTACTTGGGAGGCTGAGGCAGGAGACTCGCTTGAGCCCAGGAGTTGGAGGTTGCTGTGAGCTGTGATGCCATAGCACTCTACCCAGGGGTATAGCTTGAGGCTCTGTCTCAAAAAAAAAAAAAATCCCATATGCCTTGTAAAAGTATAAATTATTATGTATCCATAACAATTAAAAAGAAAAAAATTGTAATTCACTATATTTATAAAAAGATATCCGTGCTATGAGGAGATAATCTAATTTGGCCAAGTTCATACATCAGGGACCAGACTAAAACTCAGAATAATGCTAAAGCAAGGTAGTCCAGCTGAATGTAGGGTATCAAGAATGTGGTTACCTCACAAACTAGCCTAGACTGAATATATTACCCTCAGTTCTTTTTATTTTACCATGTGAGCATACCTCTAAAATAACAGAATCAGGCTGTTTATTGCTAAGAAACAGAAAGCTCTGCACTTCATTAGATTATAGGAATCTGCTGCTTAATAGGCCATAGCAAAAAAAAAAAAAAAAAAAAGGAAAAAGGAAAAGAACTTATACATGTATTATAAAGCAACTTGTTTATACATGTTTTCATATCTGCCATCTTAAAGACCTATGAAGTAGGAACAACAAATCCTGCTAACTTACACTTCATACTAATTTTTACCTGACTTAATCCTCTCAATGTTGGTGTTGTGTTCAATCAATGTTCATTCATTCAGTTCACAAATATTTGCATCCCTGATGCAAATGTCAGAAGCTTAAGTGCTAAAGTGCAGAATAATAAGAACTTGGTACTTACCTGCACAGAGCTTACAAAAAGTTTTAAGTGTGATGACTGTTACCAAAAAAGACTGGATGATATGGGAAACATATTAAAGAAATTCCTAACCTCGACTGGAGTCAGGGAAACCCACTCTAAGTAAGTGACTGATTTCTCAAGGATGAGTATGAGCTAGGGAGGCACAAATGGAAAGCACATGTAGAGTCTGGGGTGTGCAGTCCTCAGTTGAAAAAAGCATAGCATTTTAATTTTATTTTGTTTTACTTTTTTTTGTAGAGATAAGAGTCTCATTTTATTGCCCTCAGTAGAGTGCTGTAGCATCACAGCTCACAGCAACCTCCAACTCCTGGCCTTAGGCAATTCCCTTGCCTCAGCCTCCCAAGTAGCTGGGACTACAGGCACCTGCCACAATGCCCAGCTATTTTTTGGTTGTACTTATCATTGTTGTTTGGCAGGCCCAGGCTGGATTTGAACTCACCAGCTCTGCTGTATGTGGCTAGCACCTCAGCCACTTGAGCTATAGGTGCTGAGCTATGCCAAGGGCTTTATAAAGAGAAGAGAAATGACATGATGCTTGAGAAATATCTAAATATCTGTGAGCCGAGAGAAAGATGAACTATACCAAGACAAGAGCAGAAGCAGGGAGAGAAGTTAGGAAGCTTCTGTAGTAATGCAAGAGAAAGATGCTACTAGGGCAAGGTGCAGTGGCTCACATCTGTAATCCTAGCACTCTGAGAGGCTGAGGTGGGTGGA